GTTGCCCGGGCTGGTCTCGAACTTGCAGGCTCAGGCAATCCACTTGCCTTGGCCTCCCAAAGTGCTGGGATTACATGCTGAGCCACCCAGCCCGACGATAAACAATTTTTAATGACCCTCCAAATGCTCTGGATCTATATTGCTATATTAAAAAAACAAGATGCCAAATTGTTTATAATCCCAGCTTAAAGCTCCATATTTTCATGGAATAGTAGACGGCAATATACAAAAATTCTGATAATGGGACTAGGTGCGGTGGCTTAATGGTTATACTCTCCTGGTCATGCAGGTAATTTTACTTATTTTCTGTAATTGTCAAGAATTGCCATTAAAATCAGAAAATGCCTTTCAATAATAAAAACATTTTAAAATTATACAATGGAAACTCTACAGTTAAACTAGATGAACCGTCTTCACCTAGGGCAGCCACTAGTCGATTCCTGGGGGCATTGCCCAAGCTCCAGGAGAGGCCTTCAACCCCAGTGAGGGGCACTGCCATAGTGAGGCACTGACCTGATGGGAGGGGTGTCATCTGTCTGGTGTTTTGGTGTTTTGGGGTACAGGAAAAGTAGGCTGAGAACCATTGGAGGTAGCACAATAGAGTAAGAGAGCAGAGCCCTTGGAGTCAGAGTGACCCCCGCTGAATCTGTCTGTACTGTGTGTGTTCTCTGTGACCTCAGAGAATTCATCTATCTTGTCAGAGGCTGTTTCCCAATCTTAACACTGAAGAGGATAACAGTGTGCCTGGCATGGCCGCAGGGACTAAGGGAAGTCGTTTCTGTAAAGCACCTAGAAAAGTATTGCATAATAGACCCACATTCAGTGCTAGCACCTTTTCCTCTTAGCTTCCCAGTAGAGAATCTGGAAAATAAAGGAAAAGCAGTCACTCGTGGCTATTTTTTTCTGTTCTTTGAGTAGCTGTATTTATGGTATTATAAAAATGATGTTTGATTTTATGACAGCTATAAAATGGCATCACAAGCTATCGTCTTTGTTATTGAAGAGCTTACCTGACCAGCATCTCTAGTGGTAGCATAAAGGTTTAGCCAATAAATATGGCCTGATTTATTTGACTTTTCTGTTGATGGGCAATTAGGTTGATTCCAGGTTTTGCCCTTTTAAATGCAGATGAACATCTCACTGCATAAATATATTGGATTCTTCTTAGAAAATATTGTTATGACTTAAGCAAGACCTTCACATCTGAAGATTATTAAATTTAAGAAAAGGTTACAGTACCACTAAATCAATATTTACTGATGTGGGATGACCTCTAAGTTATATTGCTAAGTGAAAAAAACATGGTGGCTGTGCGTGGCGGCTCAGGCCTGTAATCCCAGCACTTTGGGAGGCAGAGGCAAGAGATTGCTTGAGCCTCTAGGTTTGAGACCAGCTTGGGCAACATAGTGAGACCTCGTCTCTACAATAAATCAAAAAAGTTAACCGAGCATGGTAGAGTGCGCCTATAGTTCTGGCTACTTGGAAGGCTGAGGCAGAAGGATTGCCGGAGCAGAGCAGGCCTCTGCTGGTCTCAGACTTCCAAATAGCTGGTACTACAGACGCATGCCACTATGCTTGGCTAATTTTTTTATTTATTGTAGAGACAAGGTCTCACCATGTTGCCCAGGCTGGCTTCAAACTCCTGGGCTCAGGCAGTCCTCTTGCCTCAGCCTCCCAATGTGCTGGGATTATAGGCATAAGCCACTGCACCCAGCCCAACCAATTTTAAATGGATTACAGTTTAAAAATTTTGATATGATTTCCCATTTTCAGAAAAATACCAGAATAGTACAAAGAATTCATGGCCACCCTTCACCCAGTTTCCCTGATAGTAACACTTTTAAGACAGGATTTTTGTTTTGTTTTTTTTTTTTGAGTTGGAGTCTCACTCTGTCACCCAGGCTGGAGTGCAGTGGCCACTCCCAGTCACCGCTGCCTTGACCTGCTGTGCTCCAGTGATCCTTCCGCCTCAGCCTTCCAAGTAGCTGGAACTACAGGTGTGCACTACCACGCCCGGCTAATTTTTTTTGATTTATTGTAGAGATGAAGTCTTACCAAGTTGCCCAAGCAGGTCTCGAACCCGTGGGCTCAGGCAATCCACTCACCTCAGCCTTCCAAAGCGCTGGGATTACAGGCTGAGCCACCGAGCCTGGCTGGGTTTTTTTTTTTTTAATACCAAAATATAGCTTTTTTAAAAAGAGTGGGTTCCAGCAGAGATGGGCAGGGCAGGAACTTTTATTCTGATTTTGTGTATGAGGAAATAGAAACTCAGAAAGGTCAAACAACTTGCTCACCAGCAAGTTATTAGTGGCTAGGTTGGGCCAAACTTTAGCTACTGTTAACACTGTTAACTCAACTACTGTTAGCATGATAGTGACAGTCTTGACAGAATTCGATTGGACTGAGTCTAAGAGAATTGGATTCTGTAATTAAATCAACTTCTCTTTTCTGAGATTCATCTTTACTGCAGACTGTTCTTGGACTTCTGAAATTTCTAGGTAACCATTGGCTTGGTCAGAGCAGTAGACAAAATGTGAATGGCCCAGTCTGACACCTTAAACAGTCATGACCTATTTCTCTTGTCTGACATGGTCATGGAAGGCTTCTGACCTCCTCCTGCCAGCAGAGGTAGCTGGGAGATATTTATAAGCACAATTTCTGTATTACTCCCATCTCCTTCTGAGATAAAAATATCTGTCGAGGGAGAGGAAATCGGATTCATAAAATTGTACTTTAAAAATGTTGAGTTAGGCCACATGCAGTGGCTTTCGCCTGTAATCCCAGCACTTCGGGAGGCAGAGGCAAGAGGATTGCCTGAGCCCAGGGGTTCAAGACCAGCTTGGGCAACTTGGTGAGGCCTCGTCTCTACAATAAATCAAAAGTTAGCTGGGGCCGGGCTCAGTGGCTCAGCCTGTAATCCCGCGCCTTTGGGAGGCTGAGGTGAGTGAATTGCCTGAGCCCACGGGTTTGAGACCCGCCTGGGCAGCGAGACCTCATCTCTACAATAAATCAAAAATCAGCCGGACATGGTAGCACGCGCCTGTAATTCCGGCTACTCGGAAGTCTGAGGTGGAAGGATCGCCAGAGCCCAGTGGGTTGAGGCTGCGGTGGCCGGGAGCAGCCACTGCACTTCAGTCTGGGCATCGGAGTGAAACTCCAACTCAAAAAAAAAAAAAAAGTTAGCTGGGTGTGATGGTGCACACCTGTAGTCCCTGCTACTTGGAAGGCCAAGGAGGAAGGATCGCCTCAGCCCAGCAGGCCAAAACTTCGGTAGCCATGAGCGTACCACTGCACTCCAGCCTGTGCAAGAGTGAGACTCTGACTAAAATAAGCCCAATAATAATAATAATAATAATAATAGTAATAATAAATAAGCCAGGCTCGGTGGCTCAGCCTGTAATCCCACGCCTTTGGGAGGCTGAGGTGAGTGGATTGCCTGAGCCCGCGGGTTCGAGACCCGCCTGGGCAACTTGGCGAGACCACATCTCTACAATAAATTTAAAAAAATTAGCCATGCGTGGTAGCGTGCGCCTGTAGCTCCAGCTACTCGGAAGGCTGAGCGGAAGGATCGCCGGAGCCCAGCAGGTCGAGGCTGTGGTGGCCGAAAGCGGCCACTGCACTCCAGTCTGGGCGACTGAGTGAGACTCCTACTCAAAAAAAATAAAAAATAAAAACGTTAAAATGGTACTATAAAATTGTACCTCCTTGCCTCCATTAGGGGGCGCCATTTCCTCACATTTTTCTCATCTCTAAGTCCATGTGTTTTCATTGTCATCTTAAAAAACGTTATAATTGTAGTGGCAGGGCGTAGTCAATACAGAATAATTGTAAAATACTCATGGGCAAAAAGAAGAAAAATTTGAAATCCCTCCTTTCCACAGATTAAAACTTTTCATAGACTAAAACTTTATAGATTACAATTACTAATGTATGTCTTCCCAGACGTTTTTCTAATGGATTTATATACTTAAAAATAAATTTATTTATTGAAGTATAACACAATATAGAGGAGTACACAAAATGTAAGTGTACAATGTGATTAATTTTTATAAAATATAGCCATGTAACCACCACTCCGATCAGGAAGTAAAATAGTAATAAAACATCTTCAGAAAACCTTTCTTGCCCCTTTAGTATCACCACCTCCTTGACAGATAACCACTCTCCTAGCTTCTTACACAAGAATACTTTCACCTGTTTTTGAACTCATACAGTATATACTCTTGTGTTCAGATTAGTTTTTTTGCAACATCATGTCAGGAATATTTATCCATGTTGTGTGTTATAATAATTCATTCATTTTTATTGCTATGAGTAGTTTGTTGTATGAATATTAGATACCAGGGTTAGCAACCTTTTTATAAAGGTCCAAGTAGTAAATGTTTTAGGCTTTGTGGGCCATACAATGTTTGCCACAACTACCCAGTTCTGCCATTGTAGCCTAAAAGCAGCCATAGGCAATATATAAGTGAATAGATGTAGACATGTCTGTGTTCTATTTATTTCTGAAAAATGGATGCTGGGATGAATTTGGCAGTAGTTGTCAACTACTATTTAAATTTTTTTTTTTTTTAAGTTGGAGTCTCACTCTGTCGCCCAGACTGGAGTGCAGTGGCTGCTCCCGGCCACTGCAGCCTCGACCTGCTGGGCTCCAGCGATCCTTCCACCTCAGCCTTCCAAGTAGCCAGAATTACAGGCATGCACTACCACGCCCGGCTGATTTTTTGATTTATTGTAGAGATGAGGTCTCACTGCCCAGGCGGGTCTCGAACCCGCAGGCTCAGGGAATCCACTCACCTCAGCCTCCCAAAGCCACGGGATTACAGGTTGAGCCACCGAGCCTGGCTTATTTTAATTTTTTAAAAAATAAAAATAGTATCATACTATGGATAAAATTTCCTGAGATTTCAAAAATAGCCATTATAACTCATCATGCCCCGGTGAAAGTGGAATTTCAGGTCATGGAATAACAACTGGGTGCTCTTTCTTCTTTATTGTAGTCTCTGGCAAACATAGATGAAGTCGTGAACAAAATTAGGCTGAAAATAAGGTAAGTGACACTGAATGATTATTAATAATTAATGAAAAGTATGTTGTTAATTTAGTTGGTCACATTTTAGATCATGCTTTACTGTGAGAGCACCGAACTCTCAAGTTTGCTATAAATGGTCATTTTAAAAATAATTATTATTTTACCTGGGTTTTCACATAAACCTTATGGCAAGGAACTCAATTCTTTGGCTACTCTTCAATTATTCATAAAAAAGGAAGGAAACTGTAACAGAGTGTATTCAAAACAATTCATTATTTTTATAATTTCCTTTGGAGGCAAAAACCTTTCCATATCTTTTAAAATCTTTTTTAAAAGCTCTGTTTCCCAGACTGAGGCGCAGTGGTGTGATCTTAGCTCAACACAACCTCCAACCCCTGGGCTCAAGTAATCCTCCCACCTCAAGCATAGCTGAGATTGCAGGTGCACACTACCATGCCTGGCTAATGAGAAAGAAAATTTTAGCCGGGCTTGGTGGCTCAGCCTGTAATCCCCCGCCTTTGGGAGGCTGAGGTGAGTGGATTGCCTG